TATATATATATATATATATATATATATATATATATATATATATATATAAACCTAACTCAAATAAATATTTATGTCTCACTTTTCTTTCCATCTCTCAAATTCTTTCTTCCTTAGCCTCAAAAATCCAAACTAAAACCTCCATTTTTTTCCTCCAACATGAGCAGCACAATTATGGAAGATAGTAGTGAAGGTTCAGATCAAGAGTTAAGTGAAGAAACCTTTGGTAAGAATTATGGCTATGGCCTTGGATTTTCACTTGGAATCCTAGTATTACTAGCAATCATAGCATATGCTACATATTTATGCATCCGAACGCGATCGCGCAACAATTCTAACGTGCCTAATTATAATCAATCTTCCTCTCATGGCAGCTCTATGACCACAATTACAGTTGATAATGGTTTAAATGAAGAAATTTTGAGAAATTATCCAAAGTTATTGTATTCTGAGGCTAAAGTTCATAAAGGAGAGTTTGATGTCTCTGGATGTTCAATTTGTTTGGCTTATTATAAAGATAGTGATTTACTTAGGATATTGCCTGATTGTGGCCATATTTTTCATGTCAAGTGTATTGATCCTTGGCTAAGGCTTCATACAACTTGTCCAATTTGTAGAAATTCTCCACTACCAACTCCATTAACTACTCCTTTGGTTGAAGTGGTTCCATCTGCAATTTAGGTAATTTAAATTGCAAGTTGAGTCCATTTCCTTTCCTTTTCCTTTTTTTTTTAGTGTTTTATATTGTTGTTAATTGTGCGTGTAAATGCTAGTTTAGGAGATTTACATTGTTTCTCCGTGGTGGAAGTCATTGAAAAATAGCCACTATTTTGCTGCAATACGGAAAACTCCAGCATAATATATTGGAGATTGGTGTAGACGTGTATGAACTTCCAGCATATTATGCTGGAACTCCAACACACGGAAAGTTCCAGCATAATATACTGGAGATTGGAGTACCTGTGTATGAACTTCCAGCATATTATGCTGGAACTCCAACACACGGAAAGTTCCAGCATAATATACTGGAGATTGGAGTACCTGTGTATGAACTTCCAGCATATTATGCTGGACCAGTATATTATGCTGTAATATTTTCCGGATTTTGAATAGTGTTTCCGCTCAGATTTATCTTTACATAAAAGTTGCTAAATTTCAATTACTTTTGAAACTGTAGCTATTTTTCAATTACCACTTGTAAATTTGGTTATTTTTGAATTTCACCCGTTTATGGATGGATGTACTATGCCCAAAAGCCATTTTTTTCGACATATATCAAATAGTATGTATCATACTATCTTCGTGCATCTTTTAAGGTTTTTGTACTCTTCTTAAGAACGCCAACTATCTCTCTTTTAATCGTTTCACTTCATTAACATTCTACTGATTGGAATAGTATGACAAGATTTGAGAAAAAAGTATAATTAGTTCTTATTTTTCTAAGAAATCTAATATGTTTAAACATATTCAACTTGTTAAAATGACTAATATATATCTGAGAGTAGAAAAAATGATTAATTTTTTTTTTTTGGG